TGGGGGGCTGGTGTCACTGTGCCCTGGGGCTGACAGTCTGTTCCCTCCCCTCTCTAGGGTTGGTGCTGCCCGCCCCTGTGGAGATGGCAGAAGGTAAGAATGGATTGGAATGGGGGCCCATATTAGGGATGAGGTTGGGACCAGGGTGGGAGGTGGAGCCTGTATTAGAAATGGGGGTGGAGAATCGGGGTAGGGGGTGTGTTAGGGGTGGGAAATCAGGGTGGGGGCTGTATTATGGGTGATGTGGGGATCAGGGTAGGGGCCTGTATTAGAGGTGTGGATGAAGAATCAGGGTAGGAATCGGATTGGGGGCTATGTTAGGGATGGGGAGAGAGGGGTGAGGATCGGGACAGCGGCCTATATTAAGGGTGGGGGTGGATAATCTGGGTGGGGATTAGATGGGGGCTATGTTAGGGATGGGGAGTGAGGGGTGAGGATCGAAGTAGGGGCCTGTATTAGGATTGGGGAGGAGCATCAGAGTGGGGGGCTGTGTTAGGGGTGGGGATTGGGGTAGGGGCCGGTATTAGACGGGGGACTGGAGAGGGGGGGGGGGGGAATGGGGGGGGGGAGTGGGGGGGGGGCTATGTTAGGGATGGGGAGGTTCAGGGTGAGGATTGGGGTAGGGGCCTGTATTAGGCAAGGGTAGAGAATCAGGGTGGAGTTCAAGTTGGGGGGTATGTTAGGGATGGGGAGGGAGGAGTGGGGTAGCCAAGCGTCCGTTTTTTTACCGGAACACCTGGTCAAAAAGGGACCCTGGCGGCTCCGGTCAGCACCACTGACCAGGCTGTTAAAAGTCCGGTTGGCGGCGCAGTGGGGCTAAGGCAGGCTCCCTGTCTGCCCTGGCTCTTCGCAGCTCCCTGGAAGCAGCCAACATGTCCGGCCCCTAGGTGCAGAGGCAATCAGGGAAGTTCCATGTGCTGCCCCCACCAGCTCTGCGCAGCTCCCATTGGCTTTGAACTGTGGCCAATGGGAGCTGTGGTGGCGGTGTCTGTGGGCACAGGCAGTGTACACCACACAGAGCCACCTGGCCACGCCTATGCCTAGGAGCCGGAGGGAGGACATGCCAGCTGCTTCCGGGAGCAGCGTGGAGCCAGGGCAGGCAGGAAGCCTGTCTTAGCCCCGCTGCGTCACCGACCAGGAGCCGCCTAAGGTAAGCGCCAGCCGGCCGGAGCCCACACCCCAAACCGCCTCTTGCATCTCAACCCGCTGCCCCTGGTCGGAACCCCCTCCCGCACCCAAACTCCCTCCCAGAGCCTGCACCCTGCACCCCCTCCCGCACCCCAACCCCATACCCCAGCCCAGAGCCCCTTCCTGCCCCCTAAACCCCTCATACCCATTCTCACCCCAAAGCCCACACCCCCAGCCAGAGCCCTCACCTCCTCCCACACTCCAACCCCCTGCCCCAGACTGGAGCCACCTCCCACACCCTGAACCCCTCAATTCTGGCCCCAGCCCGAAGCCTGCACCCCCAGCTGGAGCCCTCACCTCTCCCACCTCACTGTGCTACCAACCGGCAGCCACCTGAGGTAAGCGCTACCTGGCTGGAGCCCGCAACCCGACCCTCTGCCCCAGCCCAGTGAAAATGAATGAGGGTGGGGGCGAGTGAGCGACAAAGGGAGGGGGGACAGAGTGAGTGGATGCCGGGCCTCAGAGAAGGGACAGGGCCTCAGAGAAGATGGGCAGGGTGGGGGACAGGGCAAAGGTGTTCGATTTTGTGCAATTATGAAGTTGGCAACCCTAGCTGAGGATCAAGGTAGGGGGCTGTATTAGGATGGGGTGGAGAATTGGGGTAGGGGGATATGTTAGGGGTGGGAAATCAAGGTGGCATGGGGATCAGGGTAGGGGCTTGTATAAGGGGTGGGGGTGGAGAATCAGGGTGGGGGTTGTGTTGGGGTGGGGATTGGGGTAAAGGCCTGTATTAGGGGTGGTTGAATCGGGGTGGGGATCGGGTCGGGGGCTATGTTAGGGATGGAGTGAGGGGGGAAGATCATAGAATTATAGAATCATAGAATATCAGGGTTGGAAGGGATCTCAGGAGATCATCTAGTTCAACCCCCTGCTCAAAGCAGGACCAATCTCCAACTAAATCATCCCAGCCAGGGCTTTGTCAAGCCTGACCTTAAAAACCTCTAAGGAAGGAGATTCCACCACCTCCCTCGGGAACCCATTCCAGTGCTTCACCACCCTCCTAGTGAAAAAGTTTTTCCAAATACCCAACCTAAACCTCCCCCACTGCAACTTGAGCCCACTACTCCTTGTTCTGTCATCTGCCACCACTGAGAACAGCCAAGCTCCATCCTCTTTGGAATCCCCTTTCAGGTGGTTGAAAGCAGCTATCAAATCCCCCCTCATTCTTCTCTTCTGCAGACTAAACAATCCCAGTTCCCTCAGCCTCTCCTCATAAGTCATCTGCTCCAGCCCCCTAATCATTTTTGTTGCCCTCCACTGGACTCTTTCCAATTTTTCCACATCCTTCTTGTAGTGTGGGGCCCAAAACTGGACAGGGTAGGGGCCTGTATTAGGGGTGGTTGGAGAATCAAGGTGGGGGGATGTGTTAGGTGTGGGGATTGGGGTAGGGGCCTGTATTAGTGGTGGTTGGAGCATCAGGGTGGGGATCAGGTCAGGGGCTATGTTAGGGATGGAGTGAGGGGGGAAGATCAGGGTAGGGGCCTGTATTGGGGGTGGGGTGGAGAATCGGGGTGGATGGCTATGTTATGGATGGGGAGGATCAGGGTGAGGATTGGGGGGACTTGGTTTGTTTCAGCATGGCTCTGGAATACAAAGGCCAATGGGGAGCTCTCCCAAAGCAGCTCCTGATACCACACGGGGGCACTGCTGATCCCAAAGGGCATCAGGCTGGGGATGAGGTGGGAGGTGGCTCTCCGGGGGGGCAATGGGACTCAATGGGGGAGGAGGTGCTCCGGGCTCTCACAAGGCACGTTCTCCCAACCCCAGACTCCCTGCTGTATCCCTATGGACCAGCCCAGGGCGACCAGAAGAACCCCAAAGCTGACGATGGGGCATCACCGGAGATCCCCATCTCCATGACCTTCACCTTCTATGGCAAGGAGCACCGTTCCCTCTATGTATGTACAGCAGGGCCGATCCCACCGCCAACCCCAAGGCACACGGCTCAGAGGCAGCCAGCAATAGGGTGCCACACAGGGCTAGCTATCGATCCATGCTGTTTCCCGCACAAAATTCTCTGACACATGCACACTTTAGGGCACCCACCTCTAACTAATCCCTAGGGCTCAAGGCATAACCCTCTTAATTTAGGTACCCCCCACCCGTACCCTTCTGTGGGCTCAGGCGTATCCTTACACTCTAGGGCACCCACTCTTACCCTGTTCTTAGGGCTTAGGCCGGGGGTTCTCAAACTGGGGTTCGGGACCTCTCAGAGGGTCACAAGGTTATTACACGGGGGGTCGTGAGCTGTCAACCTCCACCCCAAACTCCGCTTTGCCTCCAGCATTTATAATGGTGTTAAATATACAAAAAAAGTGTTTTTAATTTATAAAGGGGGGTCGCACTCAGAGGCTGGCTGTGTGAAAGGGGTCACCAGTACAAAAGCTTGAGAACCACTGGCTTAGGCATAACCCTGTCAATGTAAGTACCCATCCATACGCAATTCCTAGGGCTCAGGGCGTAATTTTCAGCCTTATCTATCTATCCCCAACCATTGTACCAACAGTATTTAGACAGCCAGCCATAAGTTGCTGGCTCTGCTGAGTTTCTCCGCAGAAGGCCAAGAGGGGATTTGATCCCGGTCTATCAGCGCCTCCCTGGGGAGGAGCTTGCTCAGTGCAGAGAGCTCCTGAACCCAGCAGATCCGGCAGAGTGAGAGCCGATGGCCAGGAGATGAAGCTGGACAAATCCAGGCTGGAAATGAGGGGTGACTTTGCACTAGGGAGGGGAACCAACCCTTGCCCCGGTGGCGGGGTGGGATCTCCATCTTTCAGAGTCTTTCCATGGAGTTGGGGCATCTTCCTCTGAAAGCTGCGCTCTAGCTCGACCCACAGATCTGGGCTGGAGGCTGGGGTCCCCAGTTTGGTTCTGAGACTGAGGTTAGGCAGGAGGGCAAAGCAGGTGGGCAGAATGGACCCACCTAGCCTTAGACTCTATGGATCTCTGTGTCTGTGCCCCACATCACCAGCCGAGGTGCCTCACATCCCACTGGGCATTGGGGGTGGGCGCGAGCCTCAGCAGGGGGCACCATGTTGTGGGGAATGGGACAGGGGGCTCATCAGAGGACACTGTGCTGTGGGGAGCAGGACGGGGAGCTCAGTAGGGGGTGCTGTGCTGCAAAGAGGGGGTTAGCCATGGTCTGTTGTGTTCCTACATCCACCACTCTGCTCCCCACCCCCACAGGTGAACAACAATGGCGTGGTGTCCTTCGGCGTGTCCGTCTCCCAGTACACCCCCGACCCCTTCCCCTTGGCTGATGGCCGACCCTTTGTGGCCCCCTACTGGGGCGATGTGAACAACAACCTGGGTGGGGACGTCTACTACCGGGAGACCCAGAACCCCGAGCTGCTGCGCCGCCTCACCAGAGACATCAACCAGTACTTCCCGGAGATCCCCTTCACTGCCACGTGGGCCTTCGTGGCCACCTGGGACCGTGTGGCCTACTACGGCTCCACCTCCCAGAAGGTATGTGGCACCTCATTCCCCAAGGCCCCCGCTGAGTCCCTAGGGGCAGGGGAGAGACAGGAAGGGAGACTGGCTAGTGGGGCTGCTGGACCCAGACAGTACCCTATGGTTCCTGCTGCGGTGCAGCTCCCAGGCTGCATTGCCCATGTTCGCCACTAGGGGCGCTCCAGGGGACTGGCTAGCAGAGTCGCTGGAGCTGTGCTTCCTGCACCTGTGCAGCTCCTCTGGTCACCACTAGGGGTCACCCCATACATGAAGCTATCCCACCTACTGACCAGTGGGTTTCATTGGCAGCGATACGTAGCACAGCCTGGATGGAATACCCCGTGGGCCAGCCTTCCCCAGGCACCTGGCCTTGCCCTCCCACAACCCCCCCACGCAGGAGTCCCCTCCCACCTCCCAGACTGATTCACCCAGGTCCCTTCCCTCGCCGCTGCAGGTGAACACATTTCAGGCTGTGCTGGCAAACGACGGCAAAGTCACCTTCATCATGCTGAACTATGGCACGATCCAGTGGACCACGGGCACAGCGAGTAGAGGAGACGCCAACAACGGCCTAGGGGGCACTCCCGCCCAGGTAGGTCCCCTTATACAGCACACACAGGAATGCGGCACGAGGTGGCGGCGTGAGCCAGGGCAGGGGCTCAGCAGAGGGCACTGGGCTGCAGGGAGCAGGATGGGGGCTCAGTAGGGGGCGCTGTGCTGCAGGGAGCGTGTCAGGGGCTCAGTAGGGGGCGCTGTGCTGCAGGGAGCGTGTCAGGGGCTCAGTAGGGGGCGCTGTGCTGCAGGGAGCGTGTCAGGGGCTCAG